CTAGAGTCCAGACTCTGAAAAACATCGACAAGAAAAAGTACTCTTGATTCAATCAGAATCTAGCTTAAATCAAGAACTAAGCCTGGTAATTTAAGCGGATTTCGTTTTGATTCAAGCAAAAATCCGATTGAATCAAGAGTATTTTTTCTTGTCAATGTTTTCAAGAGTCTGGACTCAAGATCCAATGTGTGTTTTTTTTTCTCTCTCTCTCTCTAGTGTTTGCAATTAGGTCCCTCAACGGATGAGCAAGAAATTGTGTTTCCTTGCAGTCGGGAATTTGCGTGATGTGGTGTAGCGTGTTGCGTCGGGAGGGCTTGGAGGCGCCGGTGCCGGGTTGTTGCCTTCTGGTCGGGAGGCGCCGACGCGCGGCGGATTGCCGGCTCGGGTCTCGCAGGCGCAGAGGGGCGGGCGCGCGGTTGTTGCCCGGCTCGGCGAGGCGGAGCGCGGCCTACTTGCCGCTCTCAGTCGCGGGATCGATATCTCAGGAATCGGTACCGTCCACCCGTGTCCCGCGTCCGCCGTCGTCGTCGTCCGTCTCGGCCCTCCGTGGCTCCGTGGAAAATGTCCCTGGGAGCCGGACCAGCATGAGAATTCATTTCCTCCCGTCATGTGTCGTCTCCTTCTCCGTCGTCCTCAACCTCTGCGTCGCGCCCGTCAGCGAAGAACACGAGCTCATCCGCCGAACACTGTGAGTACCCGTTCATTTGCTCAGCGTGTTGCATATGTGTGTGCTTCCAGGCGCCAGCTCCCCTAACCCCATTTTTACGTCAACCCTGCGTTTTTTTAACTAATCAAAATAACCTCGAAGGACGCAAAACATCGTGTCTGAAAATTAGTTTTCCATGCACTTAGGAATTGTGGTTGAGTTCGGAATGTCGGAATCAGCTGTGCCGATTTCTGTGCTCAGCGTGTTGCATTTGTGCGTGCTTCCAGGCGCCAGCTCCCCTAACCCCATTTTTATACCAACCCTTCGTTTTTTCAACTAATCCAACTAACCTTGGACCCGTGTGCCTAGAAGAAGGGCGCAAGTCATCCTTCCTGAAAATTAGTGTTCCATTGATAAATCTAGGAATTGTGGTTGAGTTCGGAATGTCGGAATCAGCTGTGCCAATTTCTGTGCTCGGCGTGTTGCATTTGTGTGCGCTTCAAGGCGCCAGCTCGCCCACCGACCCTACGTTTTTCAACTACTCGAACCAACCTATGTGCCTAGGATGAGGACGAAAGTCACCCTCTCTAAAAATTAGCTTTCCATGCACTTGGGAATTGCGGTTGAGTTCGGAATGTCGGAATCAGCTGTGCCGACTTCTGTGCTCGGCGTGTTGCATTTGTGTGTGCTTCCAGGCGTCATGCAGCTCGCCTAACCCAATAATTACGCCGACCCTACGTTTTTCAACTAATCGAACTAACCCCGACCCATGTGCCTAGGATAAGGACGCAAGTCATCCTCTCTGAAAATTAGTTGTCCATGCACTTTGGAGTTGCGATTGAGGTTGGAAAGTAATCAGCTGTGCCGATCTCTGTGCTCAGCGTGTTGCCTACGTGTGTAATTCCAGGCGGCAGCTCGCTGAACCCTATTCTCTGATCAAAGCTCCCAAGTTGAACCAACCGAACTAAATTTTGACCAGGCCGCTGAAATAATGGCTCAATCAGCAACTTCAGCTACTTCGAATTATTTTGATCTGAAGATATTTTGACAGGCTCCTTTAGATTGTCATAGTGTCAACGATGTCATCAGTGTCAACGATGTCATCAGTGTCAACGATGTCATCAGTGTCAACGATGTCATCAGTCGTATAGATTTTGTTGGTCAGCGAGTTTCATCTAGTGAACTTGAAGGCGCTAGCTCGCCGAACCTAATCCTTAGATCAGCCTCCCTAGATCCTTAGATCGTTTTTTGAACCTACCGACCTAACTTTTGCCTACTCTGGTGAAACAATGGCACAATCAGCCAATTCAGCCAATTCGAGTCATTTTGTGCTGAAATTACAATGATAGGCTCGTTTGAATTGTCGTGGTATCGGAAATTTCATTAGATGTAGGTGTACCGATTTTGTTGGTCATTGTGTCGCCTATGTGTGTGCTTGAAGGCGCCAGCTCGCTTAGCCCCATTTTCAGACCAGCCGCTCCTCTAAGCTTCGTTTTTTGAACTAATCAAACTCACTTTGATTTTTGCCTCTATAATAAAGACGCAAGTGCAAGCGCAACCAATACCAATCATCTCGTCCAAAAATTTCACGAGAAAAAATGGATTGCTGATTTAACAATTCAGTTGTTTAAAATGACTGCAATGTTTCAAATGTACATTGTACAGCAGTGAAAAGCTAATTTAACCACGGGGGTGGTTCAGGAAACATTTTTTGTGGTTAAAGTATCATTTTCTGTTGTTAAAGTAGCATTTTTTTGTTGTTAAAGTAGCATTTTTTCGTTGTTAAAGAAACATTTTTTTGTTGTAAAATCTACATTGAAACATTGCAGTCACTTCTTTTAAGAACAAAATTGTCACATCAGCAATTTAATTTTTTCCGTGTGGTCCTCATGCACTTTTTAGTTGTGATATAGAGTTCGGAATGTACTTAATCAGATGTACCGATTTTCACACGGTTCATCTCAAATGGTTTGTCCGATTTTGTACTTTCTTCCAACCGCATTGCGTGGTTTCGCAATATCCGCGAATTCGATTATCCGCGGTCCCAGTAGCGATTTTGCAAGTTGGCGACACCGTTTTGCCTCTATTTAAATCCATTGAAAGTATCGATTTTAGGTGAGGCAAGCTGCCTTACCAAGAATCGATTGTTTCGCGCATATTTAAATGGAGGAGAAACAGCGTTGCTAACTTTCAAGAATCGCCTCTAGATTGAAAGAGACAAACTCTCAGACTTTGCCAAAATCCTTATGATAAGACATAAATTTCCTAGTAAACGTATGAACATTTTCCTTCAATTTTTTTTAGATAATTTTGTTCGCAATTTGACCTATAGTTTCTGAAAATTGCAAGGAAAAATATTCATAACTTATCTCGCGGTGCTCGAATGTTCGTACGGCGTTCTTCTCTATTAGCACGGCAGATTAGGACCTTCTTTCTCCGTTAGTTTCTCTTTAGGAGGATCTTCCAACTGAAGCCATCGATATCCTTTAAAACTTACCGAATTTTCGTGGAGCGTCTCAATGCTGCATATTCTTTGATTTTTATGGAAGAAATAAAACACGAAAATTAACGTGGCACTGTGAATTGCAGTTATGTCAGTTCTGATTGAATGGGTCTATTTAGATATTTAAGGACTCTTTGATAAAACTCGATGTGTAAAATGCATTTTTGGTTCATGTTAAGCAGAGGCGGATCCAGCAATTTGGCAACATTAGATTCCCTCCATTGAAACCTATGTTAAATAATCGATTCTTTTTAAAGAACCTGTCTTTAGAGCACTTTGTCAATATGCTGGATCCTCCAATGGTGTTGAGTGTACTAAAACTGTGCGCTTTCGACAAAGTTCAAGATAAATGCGGACTACCTTCAAATTTTTTGCAAAACTCGCAATATTTTGCCGCTTTTATTTTGTGTTTTTTTTTTTTTTTTTGGTAGCGCAGCATTNTTTTTTTTTTTTTTTTTTTTTTTTTCTCTCTTTTTTTGGTAGCGCAGCATTATAAGCCCATGCAAGGATCTGTTTCCAAAATTTCACCGTTGAATTCTACTCATGTTTCATACCTATAAGTTGTCCTTTACATAAAGCTACATTGAAGAACCCTTTAAACCGGTGGCGTGATTTTCGATCCATCGACTGTTACTCCATTTCTTCCAATGTAAAGAATCAGGGTGTTCGAGGGTGCTCGCAGAGAACACCCCGAGAATCGATCGTTTTTATTAGTTTAAATGGAAAAAGTATTGATAATGGATTTATCGAAAATCACGTCACGCCACTGCGGGCGGGAGGTTCCCAGTTGAAACCTCCCTTGATTGATGTAAACCACATGGGTCCTTCTCATGCACTGCCGTGCCAAGGAAAAACGCCGTATGAGCTTTCAGCTGTTGCCAAATTTCCTTTGAGAAAAAACGAATTTTCGGGAAAATTTGTGAATATTTTTCTTCCAATTTTTCAGATAATTTTGTTCGCAATTTCACCTAAAGTTTCTGAGAATCGTAAGGACAAATTTTAACAGCTTCCCTCGAAAATAAACATTTTGTCGAAAGAAATTTGGCAACTCTCGAATGTTTATACGGCGCTCTTCCTTAGCACGGCAGTGTAGAGAAGCTGCACGGGAATGACTATGAATTGGACCGCGTTTAACAGAAAGGAACCAAGCCACATCAGCTATTGCCAAATTTAAGGGGGCAATTTAATTTTTTTACGAGAGAACGTTTGTGCAGATTCCTTTGAAAATTTTAAGGAATTTGCCTCGTACTAAGGAGAAAATTCACTGAAATTTGCACTAAATTACGCACAGCCGTTTTTATGGAAGAAATTAAACTGCCCAATTAAATTTGGCAATAGCTGATGTGGCTTGGTTCCTTTCTGTTTAACGCAGTCCAATTTGGTTCCGTGGTTGGGTCAGCTGAGCTGCATCGAAAGTTCGTTGCCCCCTGCATTTTGCGTTCTGCAATTGCGCAAGAAGTCGACGGTCTATTAAACGTATCCTGTTGTAGGAGCGGGAATCGACGCAACATCTTTGTAAGCTGGGCCAAGTGCTCAAATCGTCGCCTCTCCAACGTAAAGGCGCTTTCATTAATAGGATCTCTCGATTTTTTTATTGTCTATAGCTTTGTCGATCAATGAATGACCAGACCGCAGTATCTTATGAAAGTGCGATTTACGAGCGGGAATTTCAAAGCGTTGAATCGCAGTCGAGTATAGTCGTTTGAAAAACGACGCACTGTCATGGCTGAGAGCTCCTTATCAACATTTTAGCGTAAGGCGTGGTGTTAATATAGTCCGTATCGATCCATACTCCGCGCTCGCCTCATTCAACAAGTTGTTCCCCCATGCCTGCGGTCCCTCTTTCCTCAGACCAGCCAACCCTCACGCTTCATTTCGTCGCTTCAATGACGTTAACCGTCGTGCTTAGGAAGAACGCCGTATGAACATTCGAAAGTTGGACGTATTTCTACCAAACAGACCTATGTGGAGGTGAGAAATATGGGGTGTGCTCGTGGAAGCTGCATAAGAAGCAATGTAAAAGTGGGCGTGATTCCTTTTGAAGAATTGGAAGAGCGGGATATTGCATTCTATCAAACAGACCTATGTGCCAACTGAATGCGGGAGTCATGAGCCGCGGGCATGGGAAGAGAGCGTTGTGGACAGGGCTCATGAGTTAAAGACACGGATCCGCGGCTCGGAGTCTCCATCGTCGCCGCTCATGTCACTGGCGCTTTATTATTCTCATTCACTCTTACGGCCAGAGAACTAACGAGCACACCCCATATTTCTCAACTCCACATAGGTCTGTTTGGTAGATATACGTCCAGTTGCCGAATTTCCCCGGATAAATAATGTATCTTTGGCGAAAGTTATGCATATTTTTCCTTGAAATTTGTAGATATTCTAGGTTGAAGTTCAAGTAATAAAGCCGAAAAAATTCGAAGAAAAATATTTACAATTATTCCAGTAAATGTGTATTTTATTGAAGGAAAGCTGGCGACGTCTAATGGCTTACACGGTGCTTTTCCTTAGCACGATAGTAAATTTGTATCTTCATTTTAAAGTGAGTTCTGTTGCCTACATGACTCCATACCTTTCTGGGCTCAAGTGGAAATAGAGATAAACCCTTACGTCTGAGAAGCGACAATTTAAATCGATGGAAACAGTCGAACCTCCACAAATCGACGATGTAAGTCGGCAATCACATATCTCGTTTTCGGTGTCTGAAAATCTCTGCCTCTATGTTATTTTTTCAAAGGAGAACAAATTCACATGATTCGATCCTTGAAGTTTTTGCAGAATTTTCTTCGCACAGAGAAAAAAAAAATCAGTTTTAAAGAATTGCCTTTGAATAGTTTTCTGTCTAAAAATTAAATTATGACAGGAAGTCTGCGACGTCGCAAACCGAGTTATGTGATTGCCGACTCACACCGTCGATTTGCGAGCAGTTTGGGACAAAAACCTCTGAAAATGTCCATCCGAAATGAATTGCGACGCATGACGGTTTGAAGTTTGCAGTTCAAAAACCGTATTCAATAAGAGCTTAATCTACTTCTAACTTAACCACATCTTGCAACTACCCACTTGCCCACATTAAAAACAGCTTATGCGTTTTTTATTCCATTAGCAGATAGTTCATTTTTTGGACATTTTTCGGAGGTACATTGTCGAAACTTGGAAACAATTAAATAATAACATTTTAAAGTTGAACTTATTTTTATTGAGCTGCATTATGTTGATAAAATTACCTTTCTCCCGATCACTTTTTATCCGGTTTTCAGACGATAGATGACATGAATGATGATGATGATTAACATCGAAATAGCTATCGTCTGAAAACCGGATAAAAAATGATCGGGAGAAAGGTAATTTCATCAAAATAACATTTTACCATAAAAATTCCTGGGTGCTTCTCAATGTTTTTCACTTTTGAGGTATTGGTCGATTAGGACACTTGTTTCGATGAAAGGACATCATGTGTTGATCAGGAGACGTGTTTCGGTTAGAAGACAAGTGTTGATCAGGCGACATGCGTGAAAGTAAAAGTGTAGGAATGTCCCTGTGCAATTTTTCCCATAATGTTTCTGATCTTTTGCAAGAGATCAAAAGAAAAATCAGTGAGAAATGTCCAGTATTCTACCGGTGAAAATGCACTTGGCGAGGAAAAATTCGACAACATTGAATGTATAGTTACGCTTTTTCGTTTGGTAAAAGAAATGTTTTACTCATGTATCAGTTTTCCATTTTAAGTGTTGGTTTAAATCAACGTCGCTTTTTCCGTGGATTTTTTCTAAAAAGACACTCTCAGCTTCGCAACTTATTCATCCAGATCCTATCGGGACTGACCAACGAAGCAGCGTCTGATCGCGAAAGCAACCACGTGGAAAGTTACTCTATCGGCTCGGAAAATTATTCGCTTTTCCTGGACTCTCTTCTTCTTTTTTTCTAATCATAGAAGTGTTGTCGGGCCTATTTGACTAGTCTCCCGCAAAGAGCTCCACAACGAGGGCACAGGGCAAATGTGTCCAGCGAGTTGATTATTTGAATTTATAGACAGAGCTATGTATAGATAAAATGGAACGATCCTTTTGGATGAAACGGATAGTTGTTATAGACTGAGGGGAAAAATGATGGACTCAATTATAAGGTCTCCTGTAGATTGCCGTTAGTTAGTAGACTCAGAACTTCCAATCAGAATGCTCCTTTTTTCGGGAACAGGAGGCGCGGAGTATTATTTTTACCAACCGAGGAAAAAACGCCTTCATTCCTGACTGATACCGTGCAATACTCCCATGTTAGAATAATCGTATCCAGCCCTGTATCAGTCAACCATTCAGAAATTGTTCGGATAGTCGAAAATTTGACAGATTTAAGTAGAATCAACCTACCTAAATCAGACGGTGACTAATTTCTTCTTATGTTTCATTTTTTCCACGGAAAATTAATCGAAATCGTGACTTAAAATTTTGCGAGTATATCGACGGTGAGACTGCTAGACCACGGATCTCGTTCGTAAAAATCTCCGCTCCGATTTTATTTTTTTGGAAGAGAACAAAACAATGTAAATTCTTGAAATTTTCACAGAGTTTTTTTCGTCCGGAGACGAAAAAACAGAGAAGTCTTCAAAAATTAACTTTGATTAGTTTTCCATTTATAAAATAAAATATGACAGGAAATTTATAGCGTCGCAAACCGAGATACGTGGTCTGGTACTTTCACCGTCGATTTATGATCTGAAGAAAATTCGCAGAAAGTCTTATGGCGTTATGTCGTGTGGTTTGTGGTCCGTCGCGAGTTATTTAAGTGTCCGTGAAAATTTCATGGGAAACATATGTACAAAGCTTTTCTAAAAATCATGTATTTTATTGGGGGAACATCGGCAATGGCCGAATAATTGCATTGCGATTTTCCTCAGGAAAGCAGTGTTACATGAGGTGAGATTTGTTTCCAGAAGTCAGGCAACTGTAGCGGATCGCTGCCCTCTCATCTAGGGACCCTTCGTTTTCTAGTGGCTCAAGTGCTTCCTCATTAGCGATATCGATTTTTCTGCTCTCGGAAGGGGCAATCTGGAAAAACAAGTTCAGGCTTAAAAGCCGATTTTGGAGTATGCAAGCGACAACCGCGACCAACAAACAAGGGGGACTTTCTGATTTTTTGAATGGACCACTAGGCAACGTACGAATTTCACCATTCCGATACATGTTTCTTAACAAAAATTTCACGCAGGACACGATGCGCTCAACGAACTTTACCGAAATCAATACCTTACGAAGATATTTAATGATTCTTAATGCGTGGATTCAAACCATCCGCTCATGAAAACTCAATGCTCTACGTGATTCACATCGAGCGCTAAGCGTTATCATGACAGTCTCTCCGATGTCAAAATCTGGCAACCTCGATCTTGACGCTTTGGCTCAGCTATAGCAAATTGCTTATAGTTTGAACAACACATGGTGGGAAATGAACATTGCTCGATTGAGAAGCTTGCTGAAACCGTTGTAGAGCGCGATTTGACTCACGTAGAGCTTTGAGTTTCTTGTCAGCGGGCAGTTCAAATTCCTCGTAACCAATGTGTAATAAAAACGTTAATTTCTTCGTTCAAAGTTGGTTCTAGTAATTTTCGTTGCAAGAATCGTGTTTTACGCAAAATTCTGGTTAAAAAACATGTATCAGATTTCTTAAATTCGTACTTTGTCTAGTGGTCCATTGTTTAAAAGAAACGATTTCAGTGTAAAATCGGAATCTTGATTGTTATCTTTGAAGGAGAGGGATTCATTGAGTTTAATCTCTAAGTTCCATTGTTCTGTCTAGGTGCTCGAGTGAGTTTCCAAACTGCGTATATCAGTGTAAATTATATTACTTGTTTTGAAAATTTTTAATAAATAAATACAACTAAATTTTGCTTTGTTTTGTTTTTGTTTCAGTGTTAATCACTGGGTTGAAAAGTTAGATGCAGACCTGTGGCATTTTGCAGATTTCGTTACCAGAAGGAAAGAAGTTCAAGAGGTATTTGCACCTTTCATTATGGGTAAAATTATGTATTTTTCCTCTAGAAACGAGTGTATCATATTCAATTTAGTTTAACTTTCTTTAGATTCCATACAAGTGATACAAAGACAAGATACACAAGATACAAGTGTCACAACACGTTGGTTTCCACTGTAGGATCAAAGTAAATCTCTCTCCTTTTATACAGTGTCATCAATTTGAAAGCTATGATGCTAACAATTTCTTTACGGAAGTATTCCTGTTGAATGTCATTTAACTTTTAATAACCAGCAATAATACTGCCGTGATAAGGAAGAACGCTGTATGTGCCTTTAGAAGTCGCCAAATTACTTTCAATAGATCATAAATTTTCCGAGAAATTTTCTCAATATTTTTCTACCGAATTCTCAAAGAATTTTGTCAGTAATTTGATCCGAAATATGAGCAAATTTCAAGGAAAAACACTTAAAACTTTTTTCCCAAATAAATATTTTCTGAGAGGAAATCTGGCAGCATTCTATTGCTGAGACAGAGTTTTTCCCTAACATGGCAGAATATAGGCGTGTCAGCAACTTCACAATGTAGCTATGCCATATCAAAAGTCAGTCCCATATTTTGGCTAAAACTAATTAACCTACGGCTCATACCAGGTATTGTCTGAATGGGAGTTTTTGGTTGTAGTTGAGCCAAGCTTGCAAGTATATTAAAGTAATCAAAGTTTTCTTTCTGGAATTATTGAATTGTATTATAAAAGACTATCTGAATTTTTTGCATAGTTTGTTCTGAAGATATCCTTTCTAATCAACCTCTTTAATATTCTTTCATGGCAGAGCTTCAAGGATGCCAAATTGGTACCTCGAGATGGTCTTCAAATGGTCCATCATATTGCAAAAGAGATCAAACAGATGATGGACCTCAAAATAAGTGCTGTCAAGGTAATTTTCTTTAAATTTATTTTTTTCTTTTAGTCGATTACTTTTGTTTTATCTTGAATTTTAAATTTGATTAGCATACCATCATAGAGTAGGAGTAAAATAGTAGACCTCTTATTTATTTAAAATTACTTACATATTTTTCATTAGTTTATGAGTTTCAGCAGCATTGTCGATGTCCCAGAAAACTTCGGAAGTTAGGGGATTTACTGCAACCTGACAAAGACGGGGAATTTTACGAACAGCGCACTGACTCAGTAACCTCAGCCAGTGCACTCAAGAAAGTGCAAACAACCAATGCTTTCGTCCTTATTTTAAATTCCTAGAGATGGATATCTCGTCCATATTACAGCAGAAGTTGGTGTAACAAGATGATAAAAAATTAAAGCGGAGGTTTTGATCTACAATCAGAGAATAACTGGGAATTTGGGAATCTTGGACCCAGGGAAAATGCTTAAAAAATGAGTGAAAAGTTATGGTAAGTCAGGGAATTGGAAATGGAAAAAATATGAAAACCCTGAAACTTGTCAATTCCTAAATAATTAGTTGAAATAATTTTGACTCTTCTTTAGACTGATACTGTTGCTGTCTCACTTGCATGTCAATGATGAAACTCCCAAATCACCTACTATCTTGGTTTGGGATGGTGTAGACTTCCTGTCATACTTTATTTTTTCAATGAAACATTACTCAACATTGACTCTTTATTCTTCAAAACATCCATGCTTTTTCTCCTCCGCGTGTAGAAAATTCTGTGAAAACTTCAAGGAATGATGTTGATTTTCCACCTTATAAAAACAAAACAGGTGAGGAGATTTTAAAACACAGTGAACGAGATATGCGGTTCGGGAGTTTCACCATCGTTATGCAGCATGTCACTCAAGTTTTTTATCCATGATATCCCAAGAAGCATGGGGTTCTATTTCCTGTCCAGTACTAATTTAAAAATTGTCTATTTTCTAGACAGAAAAATCAAATAGAAAGAAAATGGAAAGAAAATATATGTATCAAGTAGAAGTAAGAAAATTATTAAAAAAACTTCTATTTTCTGTCTATGTTCTGGGCAATAAATATAAGGAAAACTGACAATTTTTTGTCTACATTCTGTGTTTTTTCTATCTGTTTTATGAATGTTAAATTTCTAAGTAATAGAATAAGAAAATATCCAATTTTTCTCTATTTTCCATCAGGTTTTTGGATATTTATTCTTAAGGAATAGCCCTATCAATTTTGTAGACGGAAAATAGATCCATTTTGTAGACAGGAAATGGACCTATTTTCTTTCGTAAATAGTGACACTCGCTTTCAATTTTCTGTCAACTTCAACTTCTTTTCATTAATTTTTTTTTTTCATAAAATATTTTCATTTTGCTACTTGAGAAATCTGAGGTACTGTGTTTGATTATCTTAACAAGTTTCTTGATCTAGACTGTTTCTAAATTCCTATCTTTCTGATCATTTTGCAGCGAATAATGGACACCGTTGAGAACTCTGCTATGGCTGCCAATTACGATGAAAAAGTTCCAAAAGATTACACTTATTACAATGCACGACTGCTGGTCCAGCCGGGCGAACCAATTGACATTACCATGCCTGGAGTCAGGGAACTGAACATGACTAAAAATAGCCATTTTTATAACATTCCTGTCAATACTAGCGTTAGTTCCGTTCATGTGCCTATCAACGTTTACGATAGAGGTATGCGCACCTTGCTTAAATTATTACATTTCATTTTGAGTCTTCAAAGGAAAAATTGAAGGGATGGATATCTATACACCCCTTTAGAATTTCACAACTGGGTCAATTTAAATTACTTGTTTGATTAACTCTATATCAATTCAGGAAAATAAATGATTTACAACTTTTCCTGTTTTGAAGTATCAAAGTGTTTAAATGCAATGTGGCCATAATAATGCAATGGATATCGTCTCGCCTATTTGCATCCAGTACTCTATACAGGTTTTTCCTGAAATACGTTTTTTGACCTTAAGGTTGTACATTTTCCTCAGGATCTCTCTGATGGGCTTTCAAAACTTTTTGTTTGCTTTCCTCATTACCATTTTCTTTAACTAAAGACGAGAATGTTTTCCCTAATCTTCAATTACTCTGAAAGGGGAAAACAAATTTAGTTTGAAGGACCTCTCAGGAGAAATTTATTTAAATATTGTTTTCAAAAACCATGAAAATTTCAAAAATACATAGCTAGAAAACAGGTCTAAGGAATCCAACCAAAAAAGTATTTGAAAATCCATTATGTAGAGCCTGGGCAAAGTGTACCTTAGTGTCAGTAAATTCATTTATGACTTTTCGTAACCTTTTTCACTTTTGATCTCTGAGATATTCGCATCAATCGTACATTCCCTATCCTCTGCAAATAAAGCAGATAACAGATTAATTTCTTTTTCTAATAGTTTAAAAAATTGTAAAGGTTTTAAATTAATTTTCCTAATTTGCAGCTCCAGATGTTATTCGGGCCATCAAATGGTCTGAAACTCTTGACTCAATTTTCCTAAGCAATTATAAACAAGACCCGTCACTGTCATGGCAATATTTTGGAAGTGCCACCGGCTTCATGCGCCAGTTTCCAGGTAACTATTTCTTCCAATATCTCTGTGTTGTCTTCCTCAATAATGAGGAGATAATGGCTCCAATGTCGATGATGGTGTAGAAGCATATGGATGGCCTAAATGCAAAACCATGTATTGAACCATTTGTGACTTCGCCGACTTTTTGTCATGCATCAATTTTTCCTTGAAAAACTAGTCAATGTTATTTTTGAAAACTTCTCCAATTTTTCCTCTCTATTTGCAGAATATTCCGTTTAAATTTCAAGCCATGAAGTTGGCTTGTTAAGCGATTTAATACGTAAGCATGATTGCTTCTTCCGATCAATTCATTACTCTAAAGATCTATGGTTCACCCGTTCGATCAAAGCAAAAATATTGCGATCTATAGCATACTTCAAATGGTCCGTTTCTGTTAAAATACCTCTAGATGAAAAAACAGTTCAAATGAGCAATTTCCCAAAATCCAGGCTCATTTTAAGTGCATCTCATTTAACTTTTGGGTAATTATTAATGAAGAAACAGTTTTTGTATGCGTTCAAAGTTTCACACATCGGTTAATCAATAACTCGATTGTGAGGTTATGAAAAATTGAAAAAGAACTCAGCTGATTTAAGACGGATTAATTTTTGCCCTCACGGTATTGCCATATTTCAACTCCCCTCTGGTCAATTAAATTTATTAGATAAACTATTTGAGGGAACATTGAATCACTTCCTTATCCGGCACCCGAGGACCAGAGATGTCAGTTTGTTTTTCTTTGAAATATTAAAACAGGAGCAGAAATTTTGAAACACCACAATGGAGATACATGGCTTTGCACTTTGGCTATTGATGTAAAATATGTGCATGTCATAGAGTACATAGAGTCATAATGCAAGTGGGAGAGCTGGTGCCACTTTCACGCATTTTCCAGGTCCCGAATTCCAAGATTCCTGTGCGGCGCCGGGTCTCTTTTTCGATGCATAATCGATTGTTTGCAATACACGGGGACCCGGCCGTATTCCACACCGCCATTTTGGATAGAATATGTATCAAAAAAGTGACCCCGCACACTGGGCTCGGAACTCTTCAGAACATGGCGCCAGCTCTCCCACTTACATTACAACTCTATGTACTCAATGGTGCATGTCCACGGAAAAATGAGTCATAGTCCTTGAAGAGTAAAGAGGAGATTTAAATAAAATATGGGTAAACAAGGCTAAAAAATGATTAAAACACTAAAAGGCAGGACGTTTCGAGCTGTTACCAGCTGATTCTCAGCTGCTAAAACACAAAAACAAATAAAAAATTGAGTGGCGACCTGACCCCAGCCGTTATCATGTAACCATTGGAATTCAGTACCAAACATCCGAGGCAGACATAGTGTTTTAATCATTTTTTAGCCTTGTTTACCCATATTTTAATTAAATCTCCTCTATGTTCGTATATTCGGGATGTGTTTTTGTGCTTTATCGTCCTTGAAGAGTAAATTTTCCTCTCTGAAGTTGAGTCGAGAAATCAGAAATTGAATTTTTTTGACAGATAACTCTGGAGTTTTCCAAAGAAAATACAAACCGCAACCACTTTAGTTCATTTTTGTGCCAATAGAGGACATCAAGTTTCAATATGGTCAATCAACCCTGAGCTCTGCTCATGGTAAATTGATCTTTTGAATATTTTTTTTTTTTTTTAAATTATTGCAAAACTCAAACCGTTATGACTCCAGATAATTAGGGCAATGGTGAAACGATCTTAAACTCTCTTACATACAATAATATCAACAATTCAATTTGAATTTTTGTGGACCTCTCCCATAAATAGCCAAATATTTCCATCGCTTTCACAGCTGTAAGGGACAAAAATAAAGTAAGTTCCTTTATATAATGAAATTTGAACTATCAAAGATTCTTACGAACAATTTGCGGTTTATATCTAGCATTTTCCTTTTTAAAAAATGAAAATACAGCTCTTTGTGGTCTTAAAACAAAAAACCAATCGAAGATATTACGATTTCATCACAATTCTTGACTAGTCAAAAGCTAATTAATTATTATAACAAGATTACAATTATATTTTGACAAAATGAAATTAAAATATTCTCGCAATATTATTGCGATCTGTTACAATTCATGTCACTTGAGTAGAGTATTTCCTAAATGACTAAACTGACGCTGTAAGTTTCAAACCATAAGTAATCTGATTTTAAACCTTTAACCTCTTCTCCACTGTGTTTTGTCCTCAATATCCTGGCAAGTCTGCTCTTTATCACACCAACAAATTCTATTTTTCTTTCCTTTTATCAATCTTTAGCGATGCAGTGGAAACAGGAACCAGTAGACTTGTACGACTGTCGGATGAGGAACTGGTTCATCGAGGCAGCTGCCAGTCCAAAAGACATGCTGATTTTAATTGATAACTCAGGGTCAATGACAGGACAAAGGAAAGAAATCGCTCGTCATGCGGTCAACACAATCTTGGATACTCTGGGCAATAATGATTACATCAGTGTCATGACCTTTACAAATGACACCGAAGATGTTGTCCCTTGTTTCAAAGATTTACTCGTACAGGTCAGCATTGTCGTTTCTTTTTCTTTTTCCATTTCTTTAGAATAATTTCCTCCTTTCTCTTGCACCGACACTTTAAATTTGAATTGGTGAGAATGAAAACACATCAACTCAGTAACTTTAAAAATTCCAATTTTCATTTAGGATGCCCTGTTTTCACTCGAAATTTTGCCGGCCTTTCTATTCTTGAAACCCGTTTACGAGGCCTGCCCATTTTTGCACACTAATCATCACAACTCACCTGGTTGCAAGGTCAAGAAGTTTTTCCACCTCTTTCCAAGCACATGAGCGTCTAAATCATAAGAACTCATGATGGTCGTCTCCGCTCTTAAGCTGTCTCACTAACCTTTTCCTCTAAGTCAACAGGATTCACCCTCTAAGACTGCGTTCTTATCTTACTTTTTTGTATGCTACAGGCTAATCTTGCGAATGTTCGGCGAATCAAATTAGGTGTCGAGAAAATGGCGATGGCAAGCAATATTGCCAACTTCACCATCGCACTCACAAAAGCGTTTGAATTGCTGGAGAAGGTAGGTAACTCGACAGTAATTTTTTTATTGAGTCTCATTCGCAGTTTACATCATTGTATATCCTTATCTACCTTTGAGATTTTGTGAAGCATCATGCAGGAGCCTGTGCAATGTAAAAGTAAAACTTCCCGCCGATAGAAAAAGCTCAAAAAACTTGATAAAGCCCAGCAAAACTCAAAAATTTCGTTCCATAATTTTGATTTGAAGCCCAACCTAGAGCTTACCAAGTTTCTCTGAACGGTTGATTGTCTCAACAAAAAAGTTAAAAGCTTCCACCTCTCTTTTTTCCGAGGAATTTTTAATTTTTTCATAGCAATTTTCAAGGTAGCAGGTCTGTAAATTCCAAAAAAGTTTTAAATGGGAGTACACTCTGCATGCCAACTATTGAAACTTTTAGACAGAGGTAAAATAAAGTAATCCTTTTGGTTGATATGGGTGGTTGTTATAAACTAAGAGGAAAATGATGGATTAAGGTGATTCGATGGACGCCATATTTTGTGTCAGAACGGCATGCGATATTTTGTATCAATTGGTTCCATTTTTTCAGTTACTAGTCATTTTTCTCCAATTTTGAGATCGCAATTCTGTTGTCAGGAGACCAAAGCACTCACTTACCAAGTTTACCAAAGAAATTCAACATAATAAAGGCGTGATTTTTTCAGAGAGAAAACATGGCATTCGATACTGATATCAAAACTGCGCTCGAATGCGATATTTTCTCTCTAAAAAAACCACGCTTTTATTACGTTGAATTTCTTTGTTAAAATTGGTAAGTGAGTGCTTTAGTCTCCTGACAACAGAATTGCGATCTCGAAATTTGAGAAAAATGACGAGTACCAATGATGCGATATATCGCATGCCGTTCTGACACAAAATATGGCATCAATCGAATCACCTTAACAATAAAGTCTCCCATGGGTTGCTGTCAGTTTGTCTGTTACTTACCTCCTTTGTCCATTGCAACCCCTCGCTTCCTTTAATAAAATCACTCCATTTTCTGTTTGTTTTCTCTGTCTACCTCTTTGTCTATCAATTTTAAAAATTAGTCCACTGTGTAATACCCAAAGAATAAGTTGCCAGTATTTTAGTTCATTTTTTAATCAATCCAGGTAGTAAAGTTATGTTTTACGTCCTCGATTTTGAGCTTCAAACTGATACTGTAAGCCTTGGACTATTTATTTTTTTTAATTTGTTTGGAGCAGGTTATCTTTGGAACCACAACATTCCAAACTGTCATTGCGCCAGTTCATTTTGAAATTGTTGCGTAATCTCCGTGTCGGAAAACAATCCTCCAAGCAATAGTGCTAAAATCTTAATTTTGAGTTATTCTGCGGTGATGACCCTTTTTCAAGGGATGGCTACTTTTAAACTAATTCTGTTTTGTTTCTTTTTATATTCTATATTTTTCCTTTCTATTGAAATGTCAGGAATTCCAGAATATTGTGAGTCACTATAATTTCTTAATCAATTTTCTCAGTATCGACGCGAGCGGAATGGATCACTTTGTAACCAAGCAATAATGCTAGTCACTGATGGAGTGCCTTATAATTATGAAGACATATTCGAGCGGTACAATTGGTTGGAGAAACAAAATGGAAAGATAACCCATGTTCCTGTACGAGTGTTCACATATTTAATAGGACGTGAAGTGCCTGATGTACGGCAAGTGAAGTGGATGGCCTGTGCAAACCAAGGTAACATGGGACATTTTTCATTATTTCAGTCAGAGCTCCAATAACCTCTGCTTTGTGCATTTTCAATATACATCTTAGAGTTTATTCCATTTGTAGCAATTGATGCTATGAAGTCTTGGCATTCGTGGGCTTTTTAGGGCTAAAATTTTTGTTTGTCAATATTGGGATCAATAACTCAATTTTGAGTTTTCCAGCATTTCGGTCTATTTTCCTGTAGACTGTCACAATGAACAAACATATTCTACAGGAAAAAAAAAACCCACTACAAACTTTGTATTTTCAAAACATATCTCAAAATCTTAAGTTTCAGTGTTGCTTAGTTTTCCGTTTAAAAAATAAAAATCAGAGAAAACTAAGCAACATTAGATGTAGTCAGGTTGATTCCAGTTAAATCCGTTCAAATAATGGAATCATGTTTTGTCTGGCTGGTGTAATGGTCTAGGGGATGGGGAAATAGCCCAACTCGCGTTGATATCTTGTATGCTCTGAGGTGGTGATCACCGGCAAGTACGCCCGCTTGCCGGCAAGTAGGATGACCCGTGACACAGCCTGACAATCACCCGCGAAACTGACCCCTCCATGGCCGCCTGGTCGCCGCTATATTGCGGCGCTCAAAAGCTCTGGCCCTGATGCGGCTTGCGCCAACCAAAACACCTGCCTGCGTTCACCTCGGAAATACGCGATCTCTCACGTATGTCCGAGGTGCTCCTAACAGAGGCGTACTCTTCAAGCTAGAGTGCGTCTCTGCTACATTGGGTAGCACCTTGTCAATTAAAATTGTATTTTATAAATTGACATATTTTATTTTATAATTCATTGAATAAACAAAATAAGTAATGATCTGAAAGTTGCATCTTGCATGTTTGCAAAGCAAGAAAATTCATCAATAAGCTAAGAAAGAAGTTTTTCCATCACTTGAATTTCATTAACAATCAATTAATTGTAACTGTACATTTTGGAAACCAAACCCATTTTCAGGACAGAACGCAGATCACAGAACAAGAAGAGTCAAAATCAAGAAAATCATAAAAAGGTGTTTTAATGTACGGTAGAAACATTGGAAGACATAAGGATGAATCATAATAATCCTGCGGAAAATACGTATAAGACGTAAAATTTAAAAAAAAAGCTAAACAATCTGTCAGCTCCCTTGTAAAGAAACATATCTCAATTGCGCTTTTTCAGTATTTCTTAATTTCTTGGAAGATTTTATTTTTTCAAGAGAGCCACTGCCCAAATTTTTCTGTGAATTTTAGAATTTTATTTACAAAGATAAGAAAAAATCACAGAAAATTTTGGATAAATTCATGATATGGTTTTTTTTATGTAAAAATAAAATGTTGGTGAGAAGCACTAAAACAGGGCAATCGAGACACTTTCCTTTGTACGGGAGATTACAAATTATAGTGTAATCGTAGAATTGGTCCTGTTATCACAGTAAGATGAAGACATCAAAATAAGTTAACACATCAGAACGTAAATTCTAAGAAAGTAACACAAGCCGCTAGATGGCAGCCCTTGATAGTTGAGTAAAACAATTAAAAAAATAATCAAAACTAAATAAATAATTTGCATCAAGAAAGTTCTTCTCTCACAACCGCTTAGTCGAATTATTACAATATCTGAATTTTTTATTGCAGGTTATTACGTTCATTTAAGCACGATGGCAGAAGTCCGAGAACAAGTTCTAAATTACATTCCTGTCATGGCACGTCCTTTAGTTTTAAATAGAACCACTCATCCTATCATTTGGACTCCCATTTATGCTGATATTACAGTAAGTTCCTTACAATATTGTCAGCTCCTCTTTAATTTTTTGAAAAGAGAGGTTGGATCAATTTTTTATCAATTTATCGATGGCAAATGTCTAAGACGAGAACACACTTGCAATGATTAAAAATCTCCAATGGGGTTGTTGCATGGGTGAGGGATTTGAGATTAAAAGATATGTAGTCATAGAACTTTTTGCGATGAAAACGATGGTAAAATTCAAAAAGTCAAAAATCAAGTCCTCAAGTACGAAAAAGCCCGTCAAAGTTCCATCAAATTCAAGTTAAAAGTAAATGATTTTCATTGGCAGTTATGTACAGTTGGTCAAACTACGCAGGAGTTTCTCCTCGCCGCCATTACCCACATCTTGACCGCGTGTTTATCTAGTGGAGGTTAGGTTAGGTACAGTTTATCTTGAGCTCCAATTGGCTACGATGATGAGCGGACGCTGCCGGAGAAACCCGAGTAGGGCCGGCTGCTGAGCACCGCCCTCCGCTCCGTGAAGAAAACGAGAAAGGAGCGATTTTCAACTCACTTTCCGACCCAGAAATCGACGTGAAGAGCCATAAACACAGTCTATAATTGATTCATCTTATCTTCAAGTATCCATCAAGATAGAAAAAATGAGTTTAGTGGAAAAACTCGATTTAGCGCGCAGTTTAGATAGCAAAAACCCGTGGCCATGCGTTGTGACGTCAGAATCACGTGATTTTGAGGCGCGAGAAGGAACCCCGTTTCAAACCGTTTCTCAACTTTCGACGCTTTTTCTCCATGTTCCAATCATCAGAAAATTTTTAAAAAAATACCTCAACAATCAGCACACCACCAACTTCTAGAAACTGAATTTAAAAAAATTCATGCAACAACCCCATTATGTTTTATTTTTTTTTTTTTAAGAAAAATTAATGAAAACAAAGACAAACTTTACAATATGCTTCTTTATGAGCGAACTTTTTAATTCGCAAAAAATTTCAGAAGAAGCCATTGGTTTGTTTTCCTTTAAAAAACAAAAAAAGAAAAAAAAGCAGAAATTCACAACATTGCATTTTAAAGTACGCAGTTTTTGCCCTCAGCCACCAATATTATGTATTCCGAGGTTCACAAAATGAGACGAATGAAACAAAAAATCTACCAGGATTGCCAGTAATTTGAACAATCTAAAAAATAGAGGAAGCACCGAGGAATTTCCCAATTTTTCAAATGATCGGCACGAATGCAAAAATGTGTAATTTCAATCGATGAAGCAAAAAGAGATAAAACACTGACTCTTATTTGCAAATGATACGCTCATATCCAAGAAACCTTGACTCATTCCAAAAAAAGACTTTATATGAAAGTGTTAATGACTAAACTTGAGACTCTCACTTTCATTAGATAAATTAAACTTTTTTACCTTCACCTATAATGTTTTCTTTCGTGCTGCATACTTTTTCTCGTATTTAACGCAGGGTTTTTGCTATTCCAGGATCCTAAAATGACGGACTATCTCTGGGAGTTAAAGGAAAGTGAAGAGCAGAGAGAGAGGTCCATCAGTTTCAGACAAAACTCTATGAAGTTTGCGTCACAGGAAGAACAGGATCGGCGCTTCGTCATGAAACTTAAAGCAGTAAGTATTTTTCCAGTCTTTTGCTGTCATCAATAATTTTTTGCCATCATAAATTCTTCTCCAAGGGTAAATCAAGCAAAAAAATGAAAAGAATCTTTAAAATTGAACGAATCAAAACATTTGAGCTGATTGAAAATATGATTTTGACAAAATCTCCTCTTTATCAAAAATGAACCTGAAGGAATGCATATCTCGCGTTGAGGTGTCACAGACTTCCTGTCAATTTTGCCTTTTAAATGGAAAAATATTCAACGTCATCTTTTTTTATTCAACCTTAATTTTTTGTCTCTTTGTAAAGAATATTCTGTGAACATTTCAACCAGTAACATTGGTAAGTTCTTTTTTGATTAAATAAAATGGGTGCAGAGATTTTGAAATATCGCAAACAATGTATGCATCCCTGCAGTTTCTCTGTCATTATGCCTCCTTTTTTCCATCCCAATGGATCCTGCTCTATTCTAATTCATTTGAATTGCATTTTGCGGTAAGGAACTACAATATCTGGCTCACACTTAAAAACACCCGTCTACATAGGGAAACTAATGGCACATATGTATGTTGTTTTTAAGATGAGCTAGAAATCGTAGTTCCTAATGGGCCTGTTGCAAACTTTTGCTAGAGCAAAAATAAGAGTTGTTTCTTGTAGATAATGCCTCAAAAATCACGATGAGCGCATCGGCAAAGTCTGAAATGCACTCATAACTTCACAATCTGCGTAAGNACCGAGACTTATTTAGCATTGTGTTATATGGGTGATAAACGGGACCGGGCGATTCTACCGACTAAAGCGGGTTACCGGCTTATCCGGAAACCGACTTAGCGAGGTTTTACTGTAAGTTCTTTTTTGATTAAATAAAATGGGTGCAGAGATTTCGAAATATCGCAAACAATGTATGCATCCCTGCAGTTTCTCTGTCATTATGCCTTTTTTCCATCCCAATGGATCCTGCTCTATTCTAATTAATTTGAATTGCATTTTGCGGTAAGGAACTACAATATCTGGCTCACACTTAAAAACACCCGTCTACACAGGGAAACTAATGGCACATATGTATGTTATTTTTAAGATGAGCTAGAAATCGTAGTTCCTAATTATATGTAGAAAATGAAATCCATTTGCCATGGATACTTCTCTTTGTAAGCACTATTTTAGTTTGTTACTTTACACGTTTACTGATTTTTTATTTTGATTTTTTTCAGTCGCTTGACCAAACTTACACTGGAGAGTTGCAACAGTACAAATTAATAACCTCCGTTGCCATGCCTGTTTATGATAGGAGAGAAAATGCTGTAAGTATTGAGTGTGAATCAAGCACAAATAAATATTCAAAAATAGATTTTTAAAACATACAATGATCATGGAAGATGTGAAGAACGCATCAACTCAGTGATCAGCAAGCAGTCAATTAAATATCAGTCGCTCAGCTAATCAATAAATGCCAAAGTTTATTCTTTGATCAAAGAATGTAACCGGAGAAATGATGATAGAATTTGTCTCCGTGTGCAACTTTGTTGACTTTTTGTCTCATTTTGCTTTTTAAAAATGACCATTTATTTTGAAGGAATGACAATCTTTGGAGTAAGTGTCTCAAGTATATGTAATCCATAGAGAAATTTAGGTTGAAAGGTAGGAGAGCCAAGAAATAGGCTTTTGCATCAAAGACATTTTGAGACAGACTTTATAACATTGGATGAGAAATAGGAGCATAATTATGTGTGAAAAATATACATATTCCTGAATGAACTCATCATCTGTCTTTCGTCGTAATGAAAATTCCCCTGGGTTTTTATAAAAAGAATGATAAACGTCAAATTGATCCGTTTTTTTATTCATCAGTTTATTTCTATCAGTGATTTTTCTCAGGATATTTCTACATTTTTCAATTGCAATTTTTATAATTATTGATCTAGACTCATCAGGCAAGCATTTCAATTTTAAATTGTGGATGAAGAGTACCTTGAACAAACAATATATTGAGTGATCAAATATTTTTGTCCCTAAGAATTTCCCTCTTCACTATATTTTTGTTCTATCAACGACTTCACTCTTTTGATGGAATTATTCAATTTCTTTCCTCTAAAAAATAACCATTTTATTCTATAAATCCATAGTAGTCAAAAATGAATCCTGAAGAGGATATTTTTGATGGAATTGTATTCAAATTTTCAAGCTGCAGTTTCCTATATTGATTGATATTGATGTCTGCAGAACATTACTGAGCGCCACCTCGTAAACGAAGCATTTTGGGTTTACGAAACAAGAGAGGTATAAATATCACTGCGATTTTATAAATAACGTATCCCAGTAGGAGTTGACCCCTGTAAGTTGGTCTGATTTCAGCAGGTGTACCAAAGTCTATTTAGTGTAGCTACAGGTACATCCGATTAAATTAGTAAAATCTTTGTAGTTGTCGTTTCACTCTGATGGGAGAGTGATTTTGTTTTTGTTTTTTTGAAAAAGGGGTCATCGCACTCAATAAGTCAGTGTTTTATAGTCATTGCATTCCAAGTAGATAGAAAATATTTCTCCCAATGAAATATTTTAAAGTTAATCTAAAATCTTGAACTTTGTGCTGTGGCCCCTTCTAATATCTTTAGTACTTACTTTAAGATGCCATCTCAGAGAAAGGACTTTTGCTTGAAATAAAGCTTTGCCCAGAGAAAATTCTGATGTTTGATTTAAGCCCTAGTTTTTTTTTTAAAAAAAAAAAAAAGATCATACGCTGGCCAAGTAGGTTGTTTTATTAACTATCGTCCAAGGTTTTCTTAGGAAGAACTTTTTAGTTAATTGCCTTGATTCTTTTAACCTAGATACTTTGCTAGTTACACTAGATATTTTGAGCTAAGTTGTTCGGTTTAAACCAGCTTAAATGATTTTCCAGAATATTTTGATTGAATTTACTACAGGGAAGCAAGGAGGCTAAAACGTTCGGTCCAAAATCACATTTGTTGCCCTGTTAAAGTGTTCTTCAGGAAAATAACCGAAGGCCCCTTTTTGCAGATTGCATCTTATTTCTGTAATTCTTAGTCTTATTTTTAGCAACTCTCTATAACTGAGGTATTTAATCATTGGTTAGTTAGTATTTTATTAAATTCATCTCTCTGCATTGTTTTTAATAGATGTTTTATCGTAGGTAGTTATTTCAGGCTGTACATGTATCAAGTTACTGAATAAAATGTAGAGAGTTTTACAGGTTTATATTGGTTGATGGCAGCGGTTCATAGTTTTAGCTAGTTCTTGATTTACGAGGTTTTGACATTTAAACATTCTTTAGGTTTAAATTTAGTAAGATTAAATTCTTATCGACTCTCTGTAGTTACCACTCTGTTTAACATTTTCCCTTACTGAAAGTAGTTCTAGTTTAGAAATTTTCAGGTAGTNTTGTTTTTTATAGATGTTTTATCGTAGGTAGTTATTTCAGGCTGTACATGTATCGAGTTACTGAATAAAATGTAGAGAGTTTTACAGGTTTATATTGGTTGATGGCAGCGGTTCATAGTTTTAGCTAGTTCTTGATTTACGAGGTTTTGACATTTAAACATTCTTTAGGTTTAAATTTAGTAAGATTAAATTCTTATCGACTCTCTGTAGTTACCACTCTGTTTAACATTTTCCCTTACCGAAAGTAGTTCTAGTTTAGTAATTTTCAGGTAGTCACTAAAAAATTCTCTTTTTTGGTTTCACAGAAATGAGTAATCTTAGAGATGAGTATCCATTTGATGAAATTTGATCTCCTATGTAGCGGATCCATATTTTGATGGATATGCATATTATAGGCTACACATATATTAGATAATATCAGCAAGTTTTATTATCATTGTCTGGACTATGCAGTTATTTGAAACAAAGCCTTTAAAAAGTAACATGTAATGGACCAGTAAACAAGGTGTGAAATTAAGCATTATAATGTATATTTTATCTTTGAAATTTTACTCGGAACATGATTGGTAAAACAAAAATTACTGAAAGTAACTTCAAGCACAGAAATGGAACTTTACAATTTCAAAACCTTTTTTTAATTCTGTATCATTTGAACCACAAACTTCAGACCCTCAGTTTATTTAACAATATTCTGAGCATTTTTTGTACTTAAATGTTCAAAAAGTCCATAAATGAGGTGGACCACACCAATAAAACTTTGTTTTTTTTTTTTTTTATTTTAAGCCTCCTATTTCTGTTGATAGTCACATTTTACATACGTTCGATTTGTTATCAATTATTTTTTCTTCTTCTTTATAGACTAGAATAGCCAACTTACTAGGAGTTGCTGGCATTGATGTACCTGAAGGAGATATAAAGAAACTGTTGACGCCTCACTTGGTGAGTACCACTATTCAGAGCCATTATTAAGCAAAGTAGAATTTTAAAACACGTATGAAAAGAAATAACAGGAGAAAAGGTTTTATTTTAATCTTTGTAATATATTGAATCCTCATATCAGGTAGGCTCTCAGACTTTTAACTTCCAATCAGACAGCACTAAGCAGAAAGGAACTTAATCTAAGACAGTGTTGTCAAAATCGTACAAGTTCTTTTTTAGGGAGGGAGGCGGGACTTCTTAAAGTTAGAGTAGTTTTTATTTTTCCACCAAAAAACTGTCAATTCTAAGTAAAACAAATCCAGTCAGTTTCATTCTTTCATTACTGTACAAGTATTCAGTTTTCTTTACAGTGAAGAGAAAGTTGCACGATTTTGAAAACGCTGCAATGAGCTTGGTTCCTTTCTGCTCAACGCTGTTCAACTAAAGTATCATCTTTTCAATTCTTGTAAATGAAAAACAGTTATCATTTGTAATTGAAGTATACCAACAAGGAAAATAGGAAAAGAAGGCTTAGAAAAAGCGGAAGGCATAGTAAATTCTCTCATTTAAGTGTGCACAATATTCTGATGATTATTCCCACGTTAATGCAAGTTTCTTATACAATCTCTATACTGTATTTTTATTTTTACCGTTGCAGCTGGGAGTGAATGCCTATGGTTTTATTGTGACCAACAACGGTTACATCATTCTGCATCCTGACCTTAGGCCTGTGGTAAGTTGTCAAGTTCAAAGACAAAAAGCTATGCGGAAAAATGGAGGGTCACGGAGTCATGGACATTACAAAAATAGGACCTTTATTTTTTATGTTTGTGACACTCCTTTATTCAATATAGCTCTTTCTAGCTTACTTATCGTAATCAAACTTTAAGGGAAAGGAGGAGGCCCCTTTTGCGTAGGTTTAAGGACTTTTTACCCTAAATAATTAGCCCCTCATGACACAGTTAAATGTCTAAATGAATGTCTATGACCAAGAAAAATTCCAAAAACGATCATTTTACAGCATGTTTTGAGGCTTTTAAAATTTGTTGTGGTCACTAAACTTAATGAAAGAATAGTTGAAAGTGAAAATCTTGAAGGTTAACATTTTATTTAACAACAATTTTCTTATGTCAATGCGTGGCCCTATTTCTCCTCTTGAACATTTCCTTTTTTTTCACTCTGTCTCTTTTCTTTTTTAGTTTCAAGGAATTTTAAAGCCAAGCTACAACAGCGTTGACATGGCCGATGTAGAACTAGTTGATGATGGAAATGCTCCTCGAAAATTTGATCTCAATCTCCTGAAGGTAGGAATTTTTTTAGCAACATCCTTAGTTATGCTCGTTTTGACAACGAACCGCCGGGCAAGGTACAAATTTAAGCATTCTTATAAATATTTTAAGATTCCTTGTAGAACGCGATTCCTGCAGCAAAAATTACTGAAATCAACTGCTAACCATGATAAACACGTTTTCATTCAGCTTTGTTAACGAGAAATATGAATTTACCGCTCAGCCATAGCTCTGAGATCGAGGTTGTCACATTTATATAATGCAGAAACTGTCACGATAACGTTTATTATTCGTTTTGACCCAAGTAGATCCTGATTTTTTTTAAGCGGGGAGTTTGAATGCCTGCATCAAAAAACGTCAATATCTTCGTCAAGAGTTACTTTCAATGTATAGTGCTCCGAAAAACAAAAATGTCAGAATTTTGACATCCCTGACGTTTCAAAAGTGGCCTAATGCTCTCAAATGAATGTAAGAAAAATTCAGGTCCCTAGGTAAATTAAAACATACGGCCCAAGCCCCTTGAAATTTGAGCATTTAGAATTTCACGATTTTCGATGATTTTTCAAGGAATTCACATTGCTGTCTCAAGAATAAGGCAAAATAAATTGTGTTTAGTCATGATTCTTACGTAATTTTTGATGGAAAACCGATTTTTGGGGTTTTGGAATCGATATGTTGACGACTTATATCGATAAGTTCGATATTTTGTTAAATTTCGCCGATATTTGGCAATTTTCTCAGCATATTTCTGGATTTTAGCACCGTATAGTTCAGAAATTTAACTGACACTATTTTTGCAAGAAAGGTCACATTAGACAATGTTTCAACCCCCGAAGATAATCGATAATTCGATTACATCGCCGGTTTTTTGCTGAAATTTTGATTTCATCGCAACAGCTCTTATCTGTAGCTTCCTATGCATCCCAGAGTTTAGGACATCTATGTATACAAATTCAGAAGAGGAATTGAAGATAATTTCATGATTTTGATAAAATATAAACAAGACAGAATTGTTGTGCTTATTAATAGCGGCCTCACTTCGCTAGGATCTGGCCCGCTGGATGCAGTTCAGTACCGTGGAGCGTCGACAAAGGGGCCAAGATTGCGTCGTCGAGTCTGGCGAGTTTAATGACCTATCTATCAAACGCCTCCATCGCTCCTTGCAACGGCCTGAGGCCAAAGAGATAACTGCAACGGCAAGCGCAAAACGCTTACACACACACACCCTTACTTTTGCATGTGTGTTCATTTTTTCAAGCAAAATGAAATCATTTCTGTCTTCAAACCTCGGATTGCCCTCAGTGTCGTTTGTATCGCCTCAGTATCGTGTGGCTAGTTTTCAGACGTTAAATATGTCGCGTAAAATATATCGATTCCAAAACCCCAAAAATCGGTTTCCCATCAAAAATTACGTAAGAATCATGACTAAAAACAATTTATTTTGCCTTATTCTTGCGACAGCA